ACTAGGTAGGTGCAACCCTGTTACCTATTTCTGCTGCCAAGAGTGGCGTAGGTAGGCGTGGGCGAAGTGGGCCCTCGCCCACGGCCTCATACTTAAAGGGGCCTCGTGAGGCCCCTTAAAATGCGATTCCCCCAGATTTTAGATATGTCGTGTCAAAGTATATTTAAAGATCTATTGGGTAGATCTTGGGAACGAAAGAAAAGGGGCCTCGCTGATGCGACTTCGCCCACGTCTATATTAGTCCACGCTATGCCTCTGGCTGCCAAGTAGCAGTGCATGCACTGCTGTGTTCCAGTCTGTAAGGTATCGAGAGCCGGTGTAATTACAGGTTGTGGGGCATTCTATCTTAGTTCTCAGAGGTGACAACGCGTCTGTCATCAGTAGCCTTCTTTGTTTTGAGTTGACGGCAGGTTTGTTTTTGATAGAATAAGAGTGACAAACGAGCACATAGTCCACCTGACACACCTGAGAATCAAAATGCAGATGCGTTGGCACTCCTGAGGACTAAGATGGAAAGCCTCGTTTCCAGTGAAATGGGTCTCTGGTTCCCTACAGTCACCATATGAAACAGCAGCATTACGCTGGTTTTCTGTGAGAGCGTGCTCCTTCGCCGGTCGAACCGACCCATTCGTGCTACTCGTACAACTGTAATAATATAGCTGCAGCGTGGCTTTACCACGTCTGTGTTCATGCACTGCAGTAGCCACTTCAATTTTATTAAGAAAACTTGTTTTATTTAAACTAGCACATTTCTGAACTATTGTAAATGATGTAGATATTATAATAATTAGAGTGTAATATTACTATACTTAAATTTTACCAGCACAAACAGCAAACACGTCAAGGGTCTAAGGAATAATATATGCGCTGATGTTAACAAAACTCTACCAATTCAAAGTTACAAGTAATGATACCGACATAATGACTTGCCTAAGAAAATAAAATCCTACAATTTCAGTGACACAATAACGAAATCAGAAGTTTCAGTGATTAAAAGAAAGTTTTCCCCAATGCCGTTAAAGCGGTTTAAGTCAAGTCTTTACTCTAAGAAATTAGCACAATAGACTACTGGGCAAAATTTGAAAACTTTACGACTTTTTAATAAGCGAGGAATATTTTCTTGTAATAAAAAATTAAAATATTTATATTTAAAGAATATTTTATTATAACTAATTAAATTGGTTTTTGGGGTAGAGTACGTATTTAGGGGGTTGTTTCTTTTTTGAGCTATTTGCATATGCCTGACTACAGACTCACCTGATGGTTAGTGGTGATGTAGCTGAAGATGGTAAAACGCACTGACTTAACAAAAGCCTGTTACTCTTGCCTTGACACTTAAAGATATTATATCATAGAATGAAAATTCAGATGCTGGCAAACACTGATGTAGGCACGAATAACGGCGAAACAAAGTTTTATAAGGCTAAGTTTTTAAGGTAGGTATTAGATACCTTAGGGTATATTTTATATAATCAATACATATAAATAAATTTGAAGTGTCTCTCTGTAATATTGAAATAACTATCTTCCATTAAGCTCAGGGGATTATTTGCATGCTATTAAGACGTTAGTGTCGACGATGAGTATTATCGGCGCCTTCAGTTCATCAAAAATTACGCACCAAGCTTTTAAACTATCCCAACTTTTATATCCAAGCACGTGCGGCCATCGCGATGGCGGCAAACCGGTACCTAAGAACAAGTTTTCTTCCAGTCTTGACGCCGCAAGAAATCTGGCATTGAAAATGATATTGCAAGAAAATATCCAATCCAGTATTTAAGAAACGATTGTGTAGTAATTTAAATATCTAGCCAAAGAAATTGCCAATGATTTGGACATTCTTTTTACAGGCGGCATAAACACATAGTCGTGTCCGGTAAGCAAAGTTTAGTGTGTATAAAACATTAAGGACAAGCCGCAAATTCAATGCAGTCGAAAGTAGAATCTATTAAAAGATTTAATTTGCTGGAGGAACTAAACTATTTTTTGACCAGCGACTAAGTGGTAAAATTAAAAATGTTGTACTACTTTAATATAAATTAAATAAGAACATCATCAATGTAGTAGTCGAAGTCAATTAAATACGCATTATTAAGGATAACTCAAAAAATACTGGTCAGATTTTAATCAAATTTATATGGGATCAAATAAGGAGCACCAGTTTTCAAATAAAAAAAGAATCATCAAAATCGGTTCATCTAGAAAACGGTTCTGATGTAGGTAACATAAAAAATACAGTCGAATTGAGAACATCCTCCATTTATTGAAGTCGGTTGACAAAAGTAGGAAAATGACATGTATATTTAAGAAACATGTCATGTTTCTTAAATGAAATAAATATGCGAGTCTTTACAACGAAAACTAAATTTTTGGACAAAGACAGAAATCTAAAGCCTTTTAAAGATGATGTACTTCAGATCGTTTACATTAGATTACCCACTGAAGAACTATAAATTCTGTGAACTCCTGTCTGTAAGAGAATTGTATATTTTATTTACTACAACATTACTATTTAGGTTTATCCTACTGCAAATGAGAAGAAAGAGTTCCAACAACAAAACCTGTGAACATAATTTGCTCAAAAACGAACACATTGTACATTCGTATTGTTAACAGTAGTGTTTCCGGTTCTCTAGATTCATCCATCATAAGACAACAGTTTTTACGATGCTATTTTGACATTCAATTTTTTTGCGAGCGTAGACCTTTCACAGTCGAGCAGATTCATTCGTGCCTCGGCAGCATTCTCGGTTTTTTCAGCGCTCCAGCTTTCAGCAGTCCAGTGTGAATATTCACAACAAGCAACATCAGATGCCATGCTGATGGAGGGGAATCGCATAAGAGATCTCCCCTATTCCTTTCACGGCCAAATTGGTGAACCTGACGTGATGTGAACACGCAACCAAACTATTTTCGGAAACCTTAACTCCAAGTTTTCGCCATCGTCCCAAAGTACTCCATCCATTGGCTACTGAACAGATATTGTCTACAGTTGTCACATCCTGTAAGCCAATCTAGTTTTAGAAGGTTCATTGCACATAGCACTGGAATAATGCTTCCTAATCCTTCAAGCTACTCTCTGCGCTACAGGTAGTGTTCGACATGGCTCTGAGCCTCACTGCTCGTCTTGTTCATAACACTTGCAGATTATTTGCCTTCTTCTCAAATCACCGCAGACTACGAGGTAATTCCCTGGCACTTGCACCTTCGTCATCTAGACTGCACTCTTGATCTCCCGTCTGAGGACAGGGGTGACGTGGCTGCGCTGTATATATTCAGTATATTAAGGGATATTTTCCACATTATAGAAAGATTTCTAATTACACTTTGAATAACGAAATTGGTTTTTATATTAATATTTTTAATATTATTGAAGTACGACCAGGGATACAAACCTTTTTTTCTGATTTTTTAAAGTTAAAAATACTTTTAATAATAGTATAAAGTCTACTATTTTAAATGTAAAAAAGCCATGTGATGATCAACATTATCATCTTGATAATGTTGATGGGAAAAAAGTCACATCTAGACAAAATAAAGAGACACAGGTATCGTCACAGGCCATTCAGGATGCAAATTTATATAAACGCAACATTTTCGTTTCTAATGAGTATAAGTGTGACATGTCACAATTACCCAATTTTAAATTTTGAAAACGGGGAACTAACTGACCACCGAAACAAAGCGTTTGCTCAACTGATCGCTTACGAATTAGATCTTGTTCCAATGAAAAGAAGATCTGTAACATATGTTAATATAATAAATCTTGTGAGGAAAGTACATCACCAAAAGGATGTGGACGACATAAGTTTACCCAACTAAGAAGACTCGGAATAATGTTTGTGGCATAGGTACGCTGTTGTTGATATTATTAAATAAGTATTATGAACACTTACGTAGTTGTAGTTTTGTTTAAGTACCTATTCTCACAAGTATGCGAAACAATGATTACCTATATGAACGGTTTTAACAATCCAAGATGTTGGATTTTATTAATAAGCCGTTTTCGTTTTAATTTTCTGGATGCTTTTTTCCTTTTTACACTAGAGATGATGAATATATTAAAAAAAAAAACTAGCGAATCGTATTAACGCAGCAAAATGTTCAACTATCAACTATGAAATGAAGATTGCTCATAGTATGAACCTATTAATGTTTTTTTTTTAATTTTTTAAAATGAACCTAGCTAAAATAAATAATATATAAATATTTAATACAAATGTTTTCAATGTTGATAACCTTAGGAAGACGCCCTTCGGCGTTTTCCGCGCCTGAGGATAGTTTTATTTTTCTAAACTCATTTACAGAAATGGAAACTATAATGATGTTGTATGTATGTAAAACATGCACATATAAAAAGTATATCCCTTTAGAATAGAAATTGGCCAAGTTATGGCTAAAATATAATTTACGCCGATCGGTGACATCCGCCTAAAAATGACGTTGTGCGTGCACCGCAACGAATGGGTTAAAGAACGTGTGGTCTGCTAGTCCTTGTATATTATTAAAAATGAATAAAATCTTTAGCAAGCCTATGCAACTATGCCATTTAATTTAAAAGCAAAGTACTCTCATGGGCTACTAAGGAATAACCATTGCTAGTGATTATTGCTTTACCAAATTAAACTTTGCGGACCATAATACCTTCAAATTATAATTCAAAAATAGAGAACAGGTCTATAAGTTGGGCTTTAAGTCGAAGAAAATCAAGCTGAAAGTATAGGTACATATGAAATGTATAAGTTAGACTACGGGAGCTACTTTGGCAGAGAATGGCCAGAATCCATCGACCATCTAACCCTACACCTGGCTCTAGTTCTACAGATCTGTCAGAATTGTGGTAAATGGAAGTCTCCATATGTCTTTGGCTTCCTCTGCGTGCCAGATGTGATACGGCGTCGAATGTTTTTCTTTGTAGGTGTTATAAAACAAGTCTGGCTAAAGTCTGGCATAGCTAGTACAAGAATAAAACGCATAAGTTATTATTTAGAGTTTATTGTTCACTTAGTGGCATGGTGAGCCTGAGCAGCGGCCTTCCTCATTTGAGCCAGAACATTGCTCATCTCTTCACGCTTCCTCTTGGCACGGATGTGTGTGCCCAGACGCCGCTTCAAGAACTTCAGAGCACGTTTGTCTTTTGATACCTGTTGAAATAATATATATTTAAATATAAAAAGAACACATTTTTAATAGAGATGTACTGACTAGTCGAAAAAGCCGACGATCCGGCTGTATTTGTAGTCGGCGACTAGTCGGCCTATTAATTATTCATATTTCATATAAGTTAAATAATCTGCATGATAATTGAAATGAAATCTTAACCTTTATTGTAAACAATTGTTATTTTAGAATCAGTCTTACAGTTAATAATATAATAATAAATATGAGTATTATCGTAATGAGTGGAAGTATAATCTAGACGTAGTAAAGATTAAAAATAATAACTCACTGTGCATTATTAAGCAATAATGGCAATCAAAAATTAGATTATTTTAATTTAACTAGGGTAACAGACGTTTCTTACATAACCCTTTGTACATCACAATTTATAAAAAAAAAATATAAATATTTTTTTATTAGAAGCAATCTGTGGTGTAAAATCCACAACCATACTGCCCTTTCTGGCTTTCTTTTGGTGTTTTATATATTGCCAGCTTCGGAGAAGTCTCTCGCTATACACATAACTAGCTGGATAATAGACACACTTTAGCAAGACGCGATATTTCGGGATATCTTAACTGTTACGATTTCACATCGGCATTGCTGATTCAAACCAAACTCCGCCAAAAGCAATGATCGGCTAGGCCAACTAGCCTAGTCTAGTCTAGACTAGTCCAACAATATCATAGTCGGCTCATTACTAATTCTTAAGATGTAATTAAAATAATATATTTTTTATTTCACTTTACTTTTTATGTTACTTTTCATCATTATTATCCTGTTTACAGCTTATCCAATGAACATAGGCCTCCATAAATTGCCTCATAGGAGAATATTGTCATATTTGCCACGCTTAGCCATCTCCTGTTTCGATTTCTCTATGCCACCTCTTGAAACACTCATAGATTTACACCATCAGTTTCAATTTGTCTTTGTCACCTCTTGAAACACCTATGGAATGATAGGGGTTGTTGATTCTCTTACCCCACAACTACGCAATTATATTACTTTTATTAATATAAAACAGTATGTATTATATAATACTAGCTGGTACTTAGCACGTTGCTGCTGCAGAAATAAAAATAACACAGCACAGCAGCGTTAAGCTGCTATTTTACGCTGGTATTCTGTGAGTGTGGTCCTTCCCCGGTCAAGCCGACCGCTTCGTGCTACGACCATAACATAGCTGCAGCATGGCAAATTTTATATTACTTTCAAATAAATTTATCAGTACAATACACATGCCACCTACTGTAAGTTAATTGTACTATGCCTATAACCTTTGTCTAAGTACAAATAATAAGTTGAAGAGGTTTCATCGCAATATAATACGGTATGGCAGCACTTAAAATGCAAACAAACAAACATAATATAAAATTTATCAGTACAGAGTTATCTACTATATCTAATGGTAAATAGCTCATAAGTTGAACAATCATAAATTTCGAGATAGGTACACAAGCAATTTGTGTTCAATCTCTGCCCATGGCTCATGGTAAACAGACATGATCATTATAATTTATATGGTAGGTAGATGCACAAACTGAGTTAAATCTTTGTCAGCACTGGCACCACTTTTATGAATTGAAATAAATGCAGTTTTACTGTACTTACTCAAAAGCAAACGAAAAATTAGCAGGTCTGAGAAAAATATATTTCAAGGACATTTGTAGTCTGTTGATTTTCATTAAATTGCTTGGCAAAATTAACACACACTTTAAAACACTCTCAGAGATCCTGTACGCATGTTGGAAATATTTATTAATTTTATAAAGCCTTTATTGTGTCCACCTTAAAGGTAACAGGTAACAAAATGCTTGCAGTCATTTTCTATCAGTAAACTCAGGATTGTTATTTAAAACATAAATGCAGTAACAAATCTTAATGTTTGTTCAATTTTTGTAAAATATTAAGGGACAAACTATTCTTCAATTAATTTCCCCACATAATTAATTGAAATTAAAATTGGGAATATGGGGAAAAATTTGAAATGGGAATAGCACAGGTGTGATATACCAGAGACCAGGTGTCAGCATTTACCTAAAAAAAATATACAGGCAACCAAAAAAAATCTATCCCCAACGAGGGCTTCTCTATCTATGACTTTTTCTACAACCAGGGCTGTGCCACTTAAAAATGAGGTTTAATATTTGACTGATTTCATAGTTGATAAGTTAATTTGTTCGAAAAGTGTAATGGTTATTGTTTCTTTTGGCACTATTATATATTAATTAGATAAAAAAAAAAAAAACTAAAGCACTGGTATTCATAAGTTAAAAATGAGCAAAAAATTAAAAAGCAAACCACTGAGACATTGTTCTGTGTATTAATATAATACTCTAGAAACAGATAAACTTTTATTAAAACTAACTTCTCAATAAAATGACATTGTGTAATAAAAGACTTCACCTCAGTGTCAACTGATGAGTGGAAGATTAGACCTGATTGTCCTGACAGTGAACTCACTATTCATATTATAATTTTAATGCAATTATATAGATGTATATACATATATTGCATAAGTTGAATTTGATGTGACTTTAACATGTGTAGCTGGACTAAAGAAGCTAATGTAAAATTTTAATAAGTCTGATTTGTAAGTAGTTATATATTTAATAATTAGTATAAATTTCTGTTATGCATACTATTTTAAAATGAATCTTTGTTTTTTTTTTTTTTATAGAATAAGTAAAAAACCAGCACACATTTCACCTGAAGGTAAGTAAGTGGATAGACAGACACCTACATTTAACCTCAATTAAAAATCAAAATGCAGGTGTGGTGTCACCCTTGAGGACTAAGATGGAATGCCTTGTTTCCAGTAAAAAGGATCTCTATTTCTCTACACTGAATATATTAAACACATTAAGCTGCTATTTTATGGTATCCTGTGAGAAGGTGGTCCTTTCCCAGTTGAGCCAAACTATTCATACTACAGTTATAGCATAACTGCACCACGGCTCTACCATGTAAAGCGTCTTTAAATGTTATACTTAAAGGTGAGGTTTTTGAGATCAAAGTAAATTAACTTGGTCAAGTAGTTAGGATATCATTTGACTTCAATAAATATAAATGTAAACAAACCTTAAGCAATTCCATAGCTCTCTTCTCATATTGTGCATGTCCAACTACTTCACGGACCAGATCACGCACAAATTTTGAGTGTTTGGTTTGTAGCTGAAATTTGAAATATTCAATTTTATTGTTTTGTGATCTGTATTATTGATGTGAATTAGAGATCTGTTCTTAAAAGAGTATTTATATAAGCTGCTACTTTAAATTACATTACAGTAGTAAATAATTCAATGATTTGTTTATTGAAATTGGTAATGATACAATTATTCATAAATTGAAACTAAACGGTTAAATGATTTGAAACATAAAACATTTGTTAATAACTTTAAATTTAACCGTTTGTTAGTTGATATTTGTGGTTAGACACATTTAATTTTATAAAGGTACAACAGGATATAATAAAACATTAACTCAATTTTTTAATCATTCAGATTAAAAAATTGTTTGTTATATAAAAAGTAAAATGTAATATTGTTTTTAGCAAAGAATGACATAGTATTCAGTATCAAAATTCTTTAATATCATTATAAAACAAAAACATAACCTTAAAATGGTAAAACCTAATAATCTACTTACACCCTTTAGTCGAGCTGGTCTAATTCTGATGGCTTTGTCAGTGATGCCTTTCTTACCCGCAGAAATTTTTGTGGTTTTGTGGCCTTTTCGCAGACCAACTGCGATCTCAAACCTAGGCGCCATGCTGTAAATAACGAATTTGTAAAGTGAAATTCGTGAAATAATCTTATAAATAATTCACTTTCTAATTATTAACATTGCAGTTCATATAAATTCATATTACAAATTACTGATTATTTAGATAAAATTAAATTACATTTACAAAGATATTTACGTACATAACAGTTTGACATAAAAGTCCAAAGAGAAATATTTTTTTTCTATTTTTGATAAAACATATTTTTTTATTTTATGACAAAGTGACTTATGATTATACAGCCTAGTCTGACCAATAAAATTCTTTACAATATGCTTAAGAAATTTTGATGATAGCCCCAGTAGACTGTTGATGAGGATAGTATCTCAAAGAACTTTAACGGAGAGTCAACTGCTGGAGGATTGCTGCTACTGCTAATGGTTTGAAATGAATTTTGACATTTAGTAGTGCCGAGATTTTGTGTATTTAAACCATAAGTTATTTAACACGCCTAAGCACCTTAGATACGCAAATACTCTTCTTATTCTGTGGCCTTGCGATACTGTTCACGTTGATTGTCTGCTCGTTTGGGTGGTCATCAAAATTTCCCAAAAACTGCAATGCGACCTATACTGCATAAAAAAAAAAACATATGCGTCGAATTGAGTACCGTCTCCTTTTTGGAAGTCGGCAGAAAACAACGCAGTAGACTTAATACAGACACTATTCAAGGTCTTTAGCCTAGTCTTTAGCTCTTTAGTCTATAGCCTAAAGGTTGATAATTAATTACTGTTGAAATTTAACAAAAATATGTAATAACAAAGTAATTATTAGTTCATTTGTTGCAAATGTCTTAGTTTTAATATGTTGTTTGTTTAAATTAATGTTTAAAATTTTGCTATATAAAAATTTTTGTGTATATTTTTATTTAATAATGATAATCAAACCTTATTACATAAGCATTCATCCCTTATTTTTCAAAAGAAACAATGATGATGATGATCAATAATTATATTTTGGTTTATTTGATTATACAGATATTAAGTTTAAATAGCATACAAATTTAATACAGATTTTAGCAGTTTCTACTACAGATAAAAGTTTCAAGCCATCTGGAAACACTGGGTCACCATATCCTAAAGGGTCGTTTATCACCCTATCCTATAAAAAAAATCTCGATCGGTTGTCAGTTCTTTGAGTTATATGGCTGTCTTAATTCTACTTCAGCTTACTGTCGATAACACTGGTTCTACTACGGATATTCTCATTACAAAGTATATCATGCAGATAAACTCTTAGCAAAGCCCTGTCCATAGCACTCTGAGCGACTTTAAGCTTTCTCATACAGGAAGGACTACGTCCCAGATATATATTTTTATCATCACTCATCACTGACAATATGGTTCACTCTGGTTGTACATTCTTGTTTTTTAGTTTTGAGGTATGTATGATGCTGTGTCGTAACCTCACGAAAGCTGTCCAGTTGAATTCGATTTTTTAATTGGCCTTGCAGTTGAAGTGTGGGTCAGCCTCCCACTAGAAGGAGTGCCGAGCTGCCCTTGTATGACATGCAGAAAATCTATAGATGCAGGTGGAACAGTACCACAAACTAAGAAGGGTTAGAACCCAGAGCCGTAAAGCCAGTTACAAAAAAATGCGATTGACATTTGATGATTAGATTTCTCATGTTTACATTTTGCAATAATTAGTTATTACATATAAATTTTGTTACTTTAGTGGTTAATATTTTACGTTGAACATAAAGTTCAGTAAAAAAGTCTGTTTTTTCTGGCATGTTAGAAAGTCAGAATAGTAATTTCGCTAAAGAGCTATAAAGTAACCTCAAATTGTTAGAAATTTTTTAAAATATTTTATTAGAATGGAAGTTGGTGCTGTTAAACAGGCTTTTAATAATGAGGTTATTATTACAAAAATAATTACTTATCTTCTTCAGAAGATTAATAAGGTATGGTATGGTAAATGTTATTGATAAATTGTATCATAAATGTTATTCATGTTTCAGGTTATTCTAATGAAGAAAAATTTAAATCAAGCTAAAATACAAATCATACATAAGCTAACTAGGAAGGCCAAAACATTAACTGAAAAAAAAGCTCCAGAAAAATTAAAAGAGAAGCTAAAAAAGAAAGCCGAATCAGCTGTAAAAGAAGTTTTAATAATTAAGGTCTCTAATTTATTTCTTTAATAATTGAATGCATGTCCAGAGCAGGATGATATAAACACAAGCTGTAACACACTATTTCACCCCCTGGTACAACTTTCCATTAACAGCCGTTACATGATTATAAGCATACACGTAAAGTATCAACATGCGGAAATACGTACTTTTTGATAAAAAAAATTCAAAATCAATTATTTTTGAAATATTTATGTCAGTTCCTACCGTAAAACTGACGCTATTTTGTATTGTCATTGTCATCGTCAGTAGGGATGTCGATTCTTTCCGAAAAAGATCGATTTTATAAATTGAATAGAATCGTAACCTGATGTATCGATTCACAAAAAATTGATTTATAAAATTTCTATATTTTTTCATGTTTGCATTTATAATGTAAATGTAAATCCATTTAATGAGAAAAAAATCCCCTTCATCAGAAAAAAATAGGAGGGCTGATTAAGAGGGATTTCTGTATCTATTTTGAGGCTGCAACGTCTCCGGCGCTGCGGGAAGAGCAGCCTCGGGTTGGCTATAGATATCCGGTACTTGATTTTAATTATGTATTCAGTTTAAGAGGCTTGTCTGGGCTAAGTATGAACCTCTTACACTGTTTTTAAATGTCGGAAATAAATTTTGAATTAATTACGATAAAAATAAGTTTCATTAAAAATTCTGTATAACGAAATGCAAATATGACATTTTGTATAGTGTTATGAGATTAGATGTCAATAATCGATGTAAAAAAGTGTGAAACGGGACGGTGTTGACGGCCATAATTTAGGCAACCATAAATGTCAAATATAATATATTATCTACTAGCTGTTCCCCGCGACTTCGTTCGCGTGTTAGGGTTTTTATGTTTCTGCGCGGAACCCTGATTCTTTTTCTAAAATAAAAGTAGCCTATGTTACTCCTTATGAAATCAGCTATCTGCCAGTGAAAGTCCCGTCAAAATCGGTCGAGCCGTTTCGGAGATTACCCGGAACAAACAAACAGACAGACAGACAGACAGACAGACAGACAAAAATTTTAAAAATTGTATTTTAGTTATAGGTATCGTATTTACTTTTATATGCATTTAGTAAAAAACTGTAATTTTGACATTACAAACAGACACTTCAATTTTATTTATTTGTATAGATGTATAGATGATGTCAAATGTCAAGTGTCATTCCGTTTCTCTAGTGGTCACACAAATGTTCTCTCTTGTGCTTACTGCTGCTTTTTCCCTGTTTTTTCAATGACTTCTGCTCAGTTTTTGAACTTATTTGATTTAAAATTACATTGTTTCATTTACCACTATCATAGCAGAGTTTAGGGAAACCTGACTTTATAGATAAGATAGATCGAATTTGTACTAAAACTGAATCAGAACACCCCGACTCCACATAGTCTTGTCTGCCCTACCCTTAGAGTGTTTTTGTAAGCTGTAGGCGCGGAGGGAGAGCAGCCCCCGCCCGCTGCGCCGAAGCCGTTGCAGAAGTAACTTTGTGTCAATATTCCTGTGTAAAAAAGTGAGGTTATGATTTTACAAAAAATTTATTACTCATAAACTATACATTTCCGCAACGGGGGAAGGGTAGGGGAGGCTTCCCCTGAACCCTCCCCCTCCCCCTCTTCCCTCCCCCTCCCAACCCTGTACGCGAGTACCGGATGTCTATAGTTTTACCGCAGCCTCTATGCCTTTGTGTAATAAATCGTAGGCATCAGACGAGCCGGAGCGGCTGAGGCTGGTCGCCGAAGGCGACTAACAAGCCAAAGCTGCGGAGGCTGCTCCCCCTACGCGCCTCTGGCTCTATAAAAACACTCTAGGGGTAGGACAGACTCGTACCAGGTAGAGTCGGGGTCAATCAATTCGGTTCTTTGACATAAGTTGAACCTAACCTATTTTACATAGGCTGCACTAAAAGTATCGGGAATGGAATATTTCCACTGTTCCTGTCATATTAAAATCTTTTTAATTGAAAAGTCCTTGGTTTTAAAAATCGAATACCATTTATTTATTTAAAAAAAGATTCTCGGTCTGGTCACAAGGTTTTGTCAAACTTGTTTAGTCGTTGAGAAAATGGAATTGACCCGAGAAAATTCAAGAGCGATGATTTATTATGACTTTCGAGGTGGTTTAACACAAAAACAGTGTGTTGACCGGATGATTTCTGCATTTGGTGATGAAGCCCCATCCAAAACCACAATTTATCGCTGGTTTGCTGAATTTCAACGTGGACGTGTCAAGCTCAGTGATGATCTTCGTCAAGGTCGTCCAAAAACTGCAGTCACCCAAGAAAACGTTGATGCTGTGCGTAAGCTGATTGAGGAAGATCGACATGTGACATACCGCGAAATTCAGGCAACTTTAGACATTGGCATGAGTCAAATACAAATAATCTTGCATGAACAATTAGGTGTAAAAAAGTTGTTTTCCCGATGGATACCGCATTCGCTCTATGAAGAGCAAAAAGCGGCTCGCGTTACTTGGTGCGTCAGAACTCTCGAAAGATTCCACGCAGGATCCTCAAATGCTGTATACAACATCGTATCAGGTGACGAATCCTGGATATACGCGTACGAACCCGAAACAAAAAACCAGTCACGAGTTTGGGTGTTCGAAAATGAGTTAAAGCCAACAAAAGTTGTTCGTTCACGGAGTGTTGCAAAAAAAATGGTGGCCACGTTTGTCTCCAAAACCGGCCATGTTACGGTATGTACGGTACTATTCCTCTTGAGGGACAAAGAACGGTTAATGCAGAATGGTATGGTAGCATTTGTTTGCCACAGGTCGTTTCTGAACTCCGTAAAGAGAACTGCAACCGCCGCATCATCCTCCATCACGACAATGCGAGTTGTCACACCGCACACAAAACAAAAGAGTTTTTAGAGCAAGAAAACATAGAATTATTAGACCATCCGCCGTACAGCCCCGACCTAAGCCCTAATGATTTCTATACTTTCCCTAAAATAAAGAATAAATTGCGTGGACAGAGATTTTCATCACCTGAAGAAGCTGTGGACGCCTACAAAACGGCCATTTTGGAGACCCCAACTTCCGAATGGAATGGTTGCTTCAATGATTGGTTCCATCGTATGGAAAAATGTGTCAAATTTCGCGGAGAATACTTCGAAAAGCAATAAATATATTTTTAAATAGTAATGTTGTGTCACTTCCTTGATTCCCGAAATTTTCAGTGCCGCCCTCGTATTTGTTATTTGCCGTAATAGGTGCTGTTAAAAATAAAACAAATTTCAATAAGAGATCATTTATTATGGTATCTTTCTTGTTTTTCATAAATTGGATTTGTATTTATATTATAAATGCAAACATGAAAAAATATCGATACTTTAGAAATCGATTTTTTGTGAATCGATACATCAGCTTATGATTGGAATCAATTTAAAATCGACCTTTTTTGGAAAGAATCGACATCCCTACTAACGATGACAATGACAATACAAAATAGTGTCAGTTTTACCGTAGGAATTGACATAAATATTGCAAAATTAATTGATTTTCAATAATTTTTTTCTCAAAAAGTATGCGTCTCCGAATGTCGAAACTTTGTGTGTGTGCTTATAATAATATAACCTTTCTGTAAAAAAAATATCGGCCTAGCTTTCCATTGACGTCAGTCGAGTTTGGTGTTGATACGTATTTTTACAGAAAAGTTACACTATTATAAGCACACACACAAAGTTTCAACATGCGGAAACGCGTAATTTTTGAGGAAAGAATTATTGAAAATCAATTATTCTTGCAATGTTTATGTCTAATCCTACCATAAAACTGGCGCCAT